ATATGTGCAAAGCAGTCAGAAAGTGCCTGGCATGTCATCAGTGATCAATAATATTACCTGTTAGTAGTAGTCAGTTGCCTAAGGTCATAGGCAAGCTTTGAACCCAGGTCTATGCAACTTCCCAGTCCGTGCTCTTAAGCACTGTATTACACGCACGCCCTTCCTCTTTCACATACCTTTTCACACTGCTCCTCTTTTATCTTGGGCCAGACTTTCTGGCTCACACGGCTGCCAGACCCTGTTCCTTTGGTGGTGGTGACCCACCTGGGAGTGCTCCCCAGGACCCAGGGCTGCATGCAGAGGTCGTCTGTGCCATTTTAACTTTTGACACCCAGGTTGCTGAAGACAAGAGAAGTATCTTCTATGGGCCCCAGGCGAGTCTCCACTCAGCTCCTCTCCTTGTCCTGCATCCCAACCGAGGGCACAAGGGCTTAAGGCTGGTAGTCTCTTTTCTCTGGAATCCTCAAAGCCCACGCTTAGGGCTTCCCTGGTGGCGCAGTGGTTGAGAGTCTGCCTGCCGATGCAGGGGACACGGGTTCATGCCCCGGTCCGGGAAGATCCCACATGCCGCGGAGCGGCTGGGCCCGTGAGCCATGGCCGCTGAGCCTGCACGTCCGGAGCCTGTGCTCCGCAGTGGGAGAGAGAGGCCACAACAGTGAGAGGCCCGCGTACCGCAAAAAAAAAAAAAAAAAGCCCATGCTTACCTTCTAGCCCAGAAAGTGGGGGCGGGGCCAGGTGGGCCCAGCGCTCCCTACATCCCCCCCAGATAGCCTGCTAGGCTCTGGGCCATGAGCTTTGTTTACACTTCTCACCTCTTCCATCCTTCTGCACAGACACACAGACACACACACACACACAAATACACACACACACACACACACACACACACACACCACACCCCAAAGCAGTGTCAGTCACATGGTGGAAACAGAATGGGATTGTCTGTCCTCTCGGCTGTGTGAAGTGGGCGAGTCATTTATACTCTCTGGGCCTCAGTCTCAGCTCCATGATGGAGATGATCATGCAATACCTGTCCCAGGGGATTATGGGGACAGTTAAATGAAAGCGTTCACAAACTCTTCTTTTGTGTTACTTTAACCTTTCTCTTAGTTTTTTCTAATATAATGTATGAATACACTTATTCATATATTTCATTTTTTAAAATCTTAAATGATACAGATAAAGCAAATGTCATTTGGCTGTGTAACAGCTGTGGTCAGTTGTCTCTCCTTCCAGACCTTTCTATATGCATTTTATAGATATATGCTATGTAGGCCCCTATAACATATAGTTTTGTGAGGTTTTTTCGTTACATAAAGGGGCTCATGTGATTTGGATTTTTCTGCAAGTTGTGCTTTTCTCATAAGAGTGTATATCAGAGATGTTTCTGCTTCAGCACTGCTGCCCACAGTTTACTTAACAATCCCCTGGTTGATAGAGGTTGGGTTTGTTTCCAGGGTTTCCCTGTTAGAACCTAGGCTGCCGTGAACAGCCTTGGGTGTGCTGCTTTGAGCCCTTACACTGGCATTTCTGTAGGATAGACATGGTCCATGTATATTTTTTATGCTGATTCAACACATTGCAACCCCAGCTTTTTGTATTCAGTGCCTGTTTGTTGGTGGCTCTGAGCTACCCTTTCCATGGCATGGCTCCCCCAGAGCCTCTCAGCCTCATCTCTGGGAGGACAGCAGACATAAGCCTGGACGAGGCAGGGTCAGGCCGAGTGTATGGCCGTGGGACCCCGACCAGGTGCAGCCCTGGCCAATAAGGTGCACCAGGAAAGTTTGCCTTTGTCTCCTCTGCCCTCTGTGCGTGCTTCCTCCCTCCCTTCAAGCCCACCCTCCCCCCTTCTCTGTCGGAATGTAGGAGACAGGTAATCTGGTTCCAGCTAGATAAATGACCATCAGCAAGTCACTCACATGCTCTGAGACTCCTTTCCTCATATTTAAAATAATAAGGGTGAATATCCACCTCCTAGAGTGAATTGGGCAAGTGAGATAAAGGACTAGCGTGTGAAAAGACGGTTCAGATATAAGTTAGTAGCATCCTCGTTCAGCTCCTGCCTCTTGCCCCTGACCCACATGCCCCTCCTTCAGGGTCTTGTATCCAGTTGCCCCGCAACTCAAGCACCTGATGTCCTCTTTTTTTTTTTTTATGACTTTGGCAGGATTGGGGAATTTTTTTTTTATAAATTTATTTATTTTGCTTATTTATTTTTGGCTACATTGGGTCTTCATTGCTGCGCGCGGGCTTTCTCTAGTTGCGGCGACCGGGGGCTACTCTTGGTTGCAGTGCATGGGCCTCTCATCATGGTGGCTTCTCTTGTTGCGGAGCACAGGCTCTAGGCGTGCGGGCTCAGTAGTCGTGGCGCACAGACTTAGTTGCTCCTTGGCATGTGGGATCTTCCCGGACCAGGGCTCGAACCCGTGTCCCCTGCATTGGCAGGCGGATTCTTAACCACTGCACCACCAGGGAAGTCCCCTGCTGTCCTTTTAGGTGTCAGTGGTCAATCTGGTTGTTAGCTCTCAACTGAGATCTTAGCTGCCAACTACAGTGTTAACTATGACCAAGATATCTGCTCTCAGCCAACATGTTAGGGAACAGTGCTCATCACCCAGGGGGATTATCAAGTTACTTTCCCCTATATGAGTGCATGCTCGTAATGTAATCTCTGATCATGTCTTTTGCTTTCACGGTCCCTACGACACAGTAGATGCTCAACAAATGCTGCTGGGAATAAATGAATGGAAAGCCTTCAGCTGGCTTACAGGCATGAGGTTGCAGTGATGGGTGTTACTGGGCAGTGGGGTTGAAATTTGTGGCAGGCTCTCGCAGATAGCCCATGTAGATAAGCATCCATGGCCATTGGCCAAAGACAGGGGCAGAAACCATTTCATTCCTCTTTTCTCCAAGAGAAAAGCCAGCTGGCTATTCTAGGAGGCTCCTTGGAGAGGCCACCCCCAGACGGGGTCAGGTCCAAGCCTTCTAGTTGAGAGATTCAATTTCATTAGCTCACCCAGGGGTGACCAGGCTCTGGGAAATCAACCAAGCAAGTGACTGATTGGTAAGCCAGATCAGCAGTTTATTAACTTATGCTGGCAGCCGTGACTGCTAAGCAGCCTGAAGCATTGAGTCAGCCCCTCTCCTTGCCTGTTCTTGCTACAGAAGGAAACTTTACCTGGCAATCCAAATCAAACTGAGAAGGAACAGAGTAGAGTGGAGTAAAACGACACTAAAAAATAACTATAGTTGATGACACATATGCTGTGATACATTTACCCTCAAAACCACACCGTGGTGTGGTTGTCATTACTGTCCCATTTTGCAGGTGAGGACACTGAGGTCAAGTGGGTGATGGCTCCAAGGTACAGAAGCCCAAACCCAGGCGTTCCGGCTCCGGTCCTGTGTTCTCATGCCCTGAGCAGGGCCCCCTCAGCCCTGGCTATGGTTCTCCATTTGCCTGCTGTTAAGGCTACACAGCTTCCCTAGTGACATTTCTGCCTCCTTGCTGAGTGGCAGGAGACCTGAGTCTCAGCGGCAGCACACACAAGTTCTCAAGAGGGCACCTCTCCTTCTGCAGATATAACAATAAAACTGCACTAATAGCCACCGTTCATTAAGTGCTTACCATGTGTCAGGCACCTTGCACGCATTATCTCACTCTCACAACATCCTCAGGAGGCAAGCACACTCATCTCCCTTCTGCCGAGGTGGACTCACGGGCTCAGAACGACTAAATAACCTGGCCCAGGATCCCAGAGCTAGTGAGTAGCAGAGCTGAGACTGGAATCCAAGTCGGTCTGACTTTCAAGCCCATACTTGTAATCATGCCCACCTCCCCACCCTCAAGGGTGAGATGCCTTGATGTCCCACATGCTGGAGCTGCTCCCTGTTGGAGCCTCTGGCCCCTGGGCTCCAGCCTCTGTCCATCCATCCCTTTGCCCCACTGCTTCTGCCACAATGAATTCCTCATTCTGCACACCACCACCCTCACCTCCAGGGCTTCCCCAGGCCTGCTTAGTCTAGTAAACTCCTACTCATACTTTAAGCCCCAGGGAAAGTGTCACCTCTCCTGGGCCACCTTCCTCCTGCCCAATCAGCCCTAATTATGGCATTTACCAGGTTTTATTGTAATCATCTGTAATTGTCCCCCACTAAGTGGTGAGCCCCCGAAAGCAGGCATGGCGTGGTGTTCCTTGTTGTCTCTGCAGCTCTGAGCAAGTCACTGGGGCTCTCGGGGGAGCCTGTTTCCTGGTAGGAAACACATTAACCCTGGGTGCTGCCCATAAGCTGCAGAGCAGAATGGTTAAATGAGGGGGCTCTGGAGCCAGCCTGCTTGGGTGCAGATCCTGGCTTTGCCACTTCCCAGCTGTGTAACCTTGGTTAAGTACTGAACATCTCTGGGCCTTGGTTTCCTCTAAGAAAGGTAGAATCCCTACTCAATAGGGACGTTATTAGGACAAAGTAGGCTAATGTCTGTAAAGCACCTAACAAGTGCCTGCTCCCTGCTCACTGTTACATGGAGCATTCGTTCATCCTCTAAGAGTAGGGCCCTGAAGGAATGGCGAGAAGACTTTGCCTCCGCTTGAAGGTCCCCTCCTCCAGGAAGCCTTCCCTGACCCCTGACACACTCACATTGGTCAGGTTCCTGTTATCAGCCCCCTGTGGCACTTTGTGTTTCTCTTTGTTACTCACCATACTAACAGTTGCTTTCCCGCTAGACTCTAAGCTCTACGAAGTCGGGGATCTTGTCTGTCTTGTTCTTTGCTGCATTGGTGGCTGGCACATAGTAGGTGCTCAGTAAATAAGTGTTGGATTAGGGATGGAAGGTGTTGGGAAAGTGCCATATTCCAGGCTGTCACAGGAGGGTCACTGAGCAGCCAGGCAGCCCGTGATAACAAAATTGGGGGTGGGCCTGGGCTGGGACACTGGGCTCCCTTGGTCAGTGTCACAGTGACCAGACCTTCTGACCTCTCTCTCTCTCTTCCCCCTTCCCTCAGTTCCTGGCATTTGACACCCAGTTGCTGATGGGTAGCCGACGCCACTCGCTGAGCCCTGAGGAGTATATTTTTGGAGCCCTCAACATTTACCTAGACATCATCTATATCTTCACCTTCTTCCTGCAGCTTTTTGGCACCAACCGGGAATGAGGAGCCCTTCCCACCCCCCTTCCTTCAGAGAATGCCCCCTTGCTGGTCCTCTGACCCCGCCCCCCGTGCTCCTGCCAGCCCAGATATAAAGCTAGCTGCCAGCCCAGCCTTTGGCCAGCCTGCTCACTTCCCTCAGCCAGCCCTCATCCTCACCCTCTGCAGCTTGTACCCATGCCATCAGGGGCCCTGCGGTACCCAGGTCACACCATCCCCTATGCTGCCCCTTCCCCCCAGTTATATCTCCCAAACTGAGACAGTCGAGGCTGGAGGTTCCTCTGGGTTTGAGGACCCAAGGGATGAGTGGGAGAAGCCCAGCAGGATTTCAGAGGTGGGAAAAAGATCCCAGGAAGCCTGGCCGAGGCCTGCAGCCCCACCATGATTCCTCCGGAAGCTGCCACAGCTGTAGGACTATGGGGCACACTGTCCTGTGCCCACCCCCTGCCTCCTCTCCCTCCTTCCAGGTTAGGCTTTGACATTTGGTAAGAAAGGGGTGGAGACGACAACTGGGAGACAAGATGTGGGTGCTCTGCAGTGGGGGTACGGGGATAGTGGGTGAACAGGATGGCTGTTCCAGGCTGCCTATCTTCTCTCAACTATGGGACCAGCGGCTTGTTCTCGGCACCTGAGCCCTGCAGCAGAGAGAGGGGCAGGAAGCCAGTGCCATCTGTGCTTGCCTTGGTTTACCCTCCTGGGTCATGACACAGAGCTGTCGGGGAAGGAGGTGGGGGCAGGGGCCCTGCTACTGAGTGGGGACCTGTCCTGAGACTCCAAGGGAGGTGGGAGCAGGCAGCCAACCAACTGGGAGGCCTGGGCTCTGCAGCACCGCTAACTCACCCAGACCTGCATCCTCGTGGGAGGCGTGGCAGGACTGAAACCAACATCCGCTCACCTCTTCTCTTAAACTCCCAGGCTGCTCCCACAGGCCTGAGGCTGAGTGAGGGCTTGGGCCCTGGAGGACTGGGTGTTCTAGGGAAGGGAGGCTTATCTAGCAACTAACTGAACCAGCCCCATCAGGAGGGAGTCCAGCCCTGCCTCCATCCCTTCCCCATGGTCCTTCTGCTCATCTCACTTCCTAAAACCTCCCCCCATCCTCTGCCAGTTGCTGGCTTATCCCCAGTCAGGCCTCCTGAGGCCTCCATTGGCAGTGCCCGTGTCCCTTCTCCTAGCTTCTCTGGCCACTCAGGCCAGAGGTCTAAGCCGTTTCACTCCTTATCTCCTCATCTCTCCAATTTGGAAGCCATCCAGCTGATGTTAACAACCAGGGCAAGTCCCTCCAGCTGGTCCCCATGTGATGGGGTCGGGTCTCCTTATCAGCCTCTGGGCGGCTGAGATCTCAGGCAGGGTGTGCGTCAGCCACCCAGCCCCCTGCAAATCTGCTGGGGAGTGGACCAGGGGGCCACACCTGGGGGAAGCGTGCAGCCTGCCCTTGCTAGCGGCTAACTGGGCCAGTGGAAAGTTACTGTGTGGAGTCAGGGAGGTTCAGAGTGGATACCTGGACCCTTCCTTGGCCTCTCCCTCCAGGGTTGCCTCTCTCCCCATATGCCGGTGGCTCTGTTTGGCCCTGGGGGTGGGGGGGATAACTAGGGATGTTACCTATGTGTTCCTGATCCCTCCCTCTCTGCCCTTCCTATTTCCAACTTGTAAGAAATATTGCAGAAGCATTTGAAGTTTTGTTCCATCTTGGGTATGAGGAGAGAGGGAACCAAGAATGGATGGCGGTGTTGGTGTGTGAGATAAAGGCAACTGGGAGCACAGGTGGGATGCACCTTGCGTGCTGGTCTAAATTAATCCATTACGGCAACCCAAGGAAGGTGGTACTCAGCGCGTCCCCATTGCAGAGAGGAAAGCTGAGGTGATGGAGAGGCTTGGTCCACGGTCATACAGCTAACAGACTGGATGGGGGCTGGAATGAGACTGGATGGTCAGGCCCTGACAGCTCGGGGGATTCATTGTCCTCGTTACCCCCCCTGGCCTTCCCTCCCCACCCCACCCCAGTTACCACCACCAGATTTTGTACTCTGTAGTTTCCACCTTCTAAACACAAGCTGGGAAGCAGGATTCTGGTGTCTGTTTTCCAGCCTCATTGCCAACGGGCTCATGGTTTTAAGCAAGTGTTTCTTACTGACTGTGATTCAGTTTTCCTATCAGCAAGATGGAAGACCGTGGCCAGAGTGCCGCAGGGACAGGCACCAGAACATTTATTTGCACTGACTTCCTTATCCAGTTGCCACCTCTCCTCCGAGGTCCCCTCGATTCCTCTCCTAATCTCCAGTTCCAGTGCTAGAGGGGTTACTTCCCCCACCCCTTGCCCTATAATTCTCAGCCTGGGCCTTGGTCATGCTTCCCGGAATCCACTTGTCAAAGCCCTCCTCTTCCTAGGACAGTTTATGCAGAATTTGGGGATTGAGAAGCTTTTCCAAGGCTGAGCTCCAAAAGCGTGAAGGGGAAGGCAAGCACTCAGCAATAGACAATGTGACGGCAACTCAGGGCCATCGCACAGCAGAGTATGCTGCGGAGTCTCCTATTCTGGGTCCTGAGAGGGCTCCAGGACATGCTGAGCTGGCAGCAGAGCCAGGGCTGAGGCTCCTGTGTTCCACCTGCACTGAAGCCATGAGGCACCCCAGGGACACCTGGATGGGTCTTGGAAGGAGGAAGGGTGGGGAACAGGAATGCAGGATTACAAGAAACAGAGAAACCGAAGCTGGGCAGGTGCCACAAGCTGCAGAGGAGAGGAGCCTGCTTCCCTGCCCAGGAAGGGGTGGGTTGGATTTTATAAAACTGCAGGCAGCCAAGAATCTGACCATCTGTGATGCAGGTCAGAGGTCTCTTACTGAGGGGAAAGCAGAGCAAAAGATCCTCTCCTGGGGATTGTAGATGGGGGGGCCAGGGAGGTACACACAGGTCCCTGGCCTCTAGCACCGATTCCCAGGCTCGGGTGTGGCTCCTGTATCGCCTGGGGAAGCCCCTGGAATCTTGGTTCTGCCATCCTCATCTTTTGATCCTGGGGGCATCAGGATCAGACAGACACCCTTGTTCCAAAAGGCTCCGCCTCTCCCTCCCTGGCCCACCTGGGATTTCACTCAAGCACTTTGCTGCCCCTCAGTGGCTGCCTGAGGAAAAGCAGGGCCTGGTTCTGCAGGCGAGAAGCAGAAAGGTGTGTGGCCTGAGGTTTGCGGGCAGGATCTGGCCACTGGCCTTCATTCCCTGCTCTTCTCGGATCACCCCAGACCACTCTCTGCCTCAGCCTCCTGCTGTTCCCTTTAGTCCAGCCACTGTCTTATCTCAGACACTGTTTACCTGTCTGTTGGAAACACCCCTGTGCCACCCAGGCCCAGAGCTTTCTCTCGAGTGTCCGAGGGCAGAGACACGCCCCCAGAAACAAGCCCTTCAGGCCTCAGCTCCTCCAAGTTTCCTGGGATCTGCGCTGTTCCTTTCCCTGGCCTCACCTTCCTGGTCCATGACTGACAGGAGATAAGAATAAAAGTAATAATGACACCCGAACCTTCTCCTTTGCCTGCCTTTTGCTCGTCCCCTCGGATGGCTCAGGGAGTGTGTGTGTGTGGGGGGGGGCAGCGTGAGGGGTTCACGCCAGAGCTGCTGCTCCTAGTGTAGCTAAGTGAGAATTAAATCTCCACGTTCCACACTGGCCCTCCTGTCGATATATATAGACCCTTGGTGGAGGCCCTTTGGATCCTTGCACCTGTGACAGCCCTGACAGAGGCTCCTCCCAACAGGAAGCCTTCCATGGAAGCCTGTTCTTTTGTGCGCAGTTCTGTTAGAAGATTCTTCCTTATTTTGACCCAAAATCTGGTTCCCTAGAAGGAAAGCCTATGTTGTACCTGGAAGGATCCCCAAGAACAGTGGCTTTTAGAGTTGCCTCTCCTATGAAGCCTTTCTCAATCCTTCCCCCAGGTGCCCTGGCCACTCCCTCCTCGGAGCCCTCCTGCTCTGTACCACTCTAGCTGCGTTTTAACCTCTCCTTCTGTCTCCTAGTATAAGACCTGAGCTGCTTGAAGGCATGAACTGTGTCTTGTTCACCCTTGAATTCATAGGTCTTATGGCAAATGGCGTCAATAAACAGCCTTTGAATGAATGGAGGAATTTTATTTTACCTAAGAGGAAACTCCGGAGCAGAGGGTGCAGTGACTTGTCCAAGTTTATACACGAGTGAGTGACCGGGGCTGGGATTACGTGGGGTGATGATTACGTTAGCAAGTTCCTCTGAGGATCTCAGGGCTGAGCTGGCCTGGCCTGGCTTTTACACCTGCCATCTTCTTCACTCAAGTCTGGCGACTCTCAGCAAACCTGTCCGCTCACTGATTGTCCCCTACCCCCATCCCCACACACAGACGGCTAAGATCCTTTCTTCCCAGCCCACCCTCCCCAGCCCCTCCTGGGGTCTCTGCTTTCTTTTCTGGGAAAACCCTGCCAAAAGGAGCAAACCTCACCCTGTCTCAAAACGAAGAGGACTTTGGGCTCCTGAACTTCTGTGGACAGGAAGCAAGCTGAGAAAGCAATTCAGAGGCCCACCCCACTCAGAGGCCTCCCCTTCCCACAGCTCCACATCTCCTCAGCGCTTGCTTTCCTGCTGGGGCCACTTGAAAGCACATTTACTTGGGCCTCTCAGCTAGATGCTCTGGAGCTGTTGGGCATGGTTTCTCTTCTGCAGCACTCCTGGTGATTTCTCCCTCTCCTATCTTCTGCCGGCTATGGAAGTGCTTTGTCCACAGTAGGTGCTCTGTGCCCCTTTGTTAGCTCCTTTTCCCACCACGCTAGGGAGGCATGTGTGGGTGCTCTAGCCAAGAGACCAGGCTGAGCCCGGTCTTCCAGCCATGTTCACCAAGTGGCAGCCATGTGAGGGAGGAAACTATTTTGGAAGTAGATTCTCTCGCTCCAGCCCCCAGACATTTGAGTCTTCCCAGTTGAGGCCCAAGACATCATAGAGCAGAGACAAACCATCCCCTATGTCCCCTGTTCAAATTCCTAATCTACAGAATCTGAGGACAACAAAATTGTTGTTGTGTTATGACACTAAGTTGGAAGTCGTTTGCTATGCAGCAACAGATAAGTGGAACAGAATCTGTTCCCTGGAAGTGAGGCACTGCC